CTGCTTCAGGCATTGAAACTGGGAAGGTCCACATTCAGCAAGTGGGAAATGATGCTTTTTATTGCAGATACGTGTCATTTAGCAATCGTTTCTCCAGTGGAACTCCGGTGCGAGTTTTTGCTTCGATTAATTACGGAAACGAATCATCAGAGGTACACGATTCCGCTTCTATTTGGGTTGAAGATGTCACAACAAGCCGCTTCAAGGTCTGTCTCGTCCAAGGGGGCGGAGGCTCTATTGTTAACACCACCATCGATTGGTTTGCATTCCAAGGTTCCCATTCAGGAGTTTATCACGGAGAGACAAGTTTTAGCCTTTTTACAACTGGGACAAAATGTAATCGGGTGGCTTTTCCTCAGGTATGATTATACTCTGGGTTTTTTCTTGTGAGGCACATTGAACTGTGACAATGAAACCATCACAAATTTTGCACTCTTAAATTCCTCAGCTTCTCGCTGTTAGTGTTATTTCTAAACGTAGTCTACGCCGCTCTTCTCTATCGTCATGAACAAAGTACTCCAACCCAAACGTCAATCGTGGCGACCTTCGGGCATATATCTCCTATTTCCTGTTTACACAAGCTACAAATGAATTTCAGTTCATCTACAGAATAATAATATTATGGTAACTTGTGACAACCTAATTCAGTTTTAAGTAAACGGTGAACCCAATTAGTAATTGATCAATCAACAAAGGATCAGCAGCCACTTGATTCTTTTTTTTTTTTTTTAATCTTTCTAGGAAAGAGAGGATACACTTTTGTTATGTCAACATTTCCTATCACGTATAGTGGCATCCATGTATTTATAATAACAGTTTTAAGTCACGATTGTTTTGATTTTGACCCATTTTTATCTTAAGGCCTTTTCAGCGGTACCTAAGCTTCACGTCACGGTAAAACATGGAACCCCAAACCAAAAGCAGGATGCTATGAGTGTTTGGATTGCAAACATTTCCACAAGTCAGTTTGAAGTTTGTTTACGAGAGTCAAGTACATTTGATGGACCTCACAATAATATCATGGTGGTAAGAAATGCTTTTACCAAAATTTAAGTAATAAACATTTCACTTTTTAGCGGGATTTAAATGTCATTGTCAGAGAAAACCGGGCAGTACCA